ACACACACACACACACAATCTGGATTAAATTAAGTTCCTCAGCAATACCAAAATTAGGCTGTTTTTGTGAGAGGACATTTAAGAATAGACTCCGACAGAGAAAAACAGAGTGAATGAAGACTGAAGAAGAGTTTCACTGACTTCCCACACGAGTATCTGGATCTTATCATATTACATTGTGGCCTCTAATGACAGTCATTTCTGATTTTAATTACGCTTGACGATGTATTAACTCATAAAGTCAGTTGATGACTTTCAACTGGTTTTGTTGAAGCTTTCTTGTATAAATGTATCAGAATACAGGACAGCTACATAAAAAGCTTTTATCCGTTTAATTGCGTATTCTACATTGCTGTTATATTATTTATGTACATTATGAATTAGAATATTTGAAAATCAATTTGAATTGAAATGTCAAATTCAACAGAATACTTTTCTTTCTGAGATATCTATACTTAAATGAACTTAATGGATGAAATGAAAATGAAACAATCTGTTTCTATATTAGCCGCTACTAGTGTAACACACCCCAATCCCACACTCAACTGTCTGTGGAAGAGGTGCATTGTGGGTAATGTAAGCACCAGGTTTTGACAAGGAAGAATGTTCCTTTATTATTATTATTATAAGTTCTGCTGTACTAATGTGAATACATTTATTAACAGAGGAGAGGCTCCACAGAGTTACATTTCAACTAGCAACATCTTCATCATGAAGAACAGCCTCTCCTTCTCCTTTGTTGTTGTTGTTTTTTGTCTTGCACCTGTTGGATGTGTACACTATTCACCTTTACACAGTAATCTATTACCTTGACACACTGTCATCCCCCAATAAATGTTTCATTCAACACCTAATGACACTGCGGCGTTAAAGGTCCAGTGTGTAACATTTAGGAGGATGAAATATAATAATCATAGGTATGTTTTCATTAGTGTACAATCACCCCTTTTCTTTTGCCTGAATCCATCATAACTGGCTTGTTGTCATGGTAATGGCGATAACCCACCTGTTTCCTCACAGTTGTGTCCTCCGTGTCCCGGACAGCAGCGCCACAGCAGAGCGGTGAAGATCTGCTGCTTCTGCCTGTAGATCGGCCGGGTGGACAGCTTGTACCTGTGCGCACACACAAAAACACACACGCACACACACACACACACACAAACACACACTAAGCCAATGCTGTTTGTGTCTGAACCACAGAGGTAAAATAACTCAAATTTATTATAGTCAAAACCAATATTTGAAACTGAAAAAACAACTGAAATTGAATTTACAGAAACAAAACACACCGTCATCTGATCCTTCAGCTGAAGTGAAAACTAGATAATCTGGAAAATCTATATCTATATATAAATAAATGCTTAAAAGAGTTTCCCTCCAGGAAGTGTATTCCTGGCAGTGTGGAGGAGGATTTGAACCAACAGTTAGACCGGTGGTAGCCAACCCGTTTGTCTTGTGACAGTTAAAAATGAAACAGCTGTGACTTTGGCCCTCATCAGGCCAGGAAAGATAAAAATAAGGTGAAATAGAAATACTTTATTTTCCCTTAAATCAGCCCCTCAGATTTATCTTGGGAGCTCTCAGGGGGTTCCCTGACTTCAAGACTTCAAAACATTTTAGAGATATCATATTTAAAATCCTGAAGATACCCTTCAATCAACTTTAATTCATATTCCTAATAAATCCTTTACAAGAACAAATACAATCCAGTGAACAAACAACAACTCCATCTTCCACAGCAGAGATTATAAGAGAAACTGATTTTGTCTAATTGTGCCTCTAAATGAAAGTATGAACAATGACTGACGGACCTGCTGGGAGACAACAGTTATCAGACTCTTCAGGATGCTACACCTCCAATGCAGACATTTCAAAGTAAAAGTACCCAACAGAATGTGTATAAAGAGTAAAATACCTGCCTGCAACTCCACCATAGACAAATGCAAAACATTACAATCATATCTGTAATTACAAACAAAGCTTTTTGTTTATTTGTTTGTGATTTAGGCCCGAATCTGATCACTTGATCTATAACTTCTCTTCACAAACAGCCAGAAGAAGCCGGTAGCTAATTTTGAATCTTAAAAATACATAATCATGTACATTTATTGTAAGCACTGCACTTATGGTACTTAAGGTAATTACTGTACTTTTTACTTCACTACATTTATCTGACAACTTTTAGTTACTTTACAAATGCAGATTGTTACACAAATATGTGAAGAGTTAATAAACCTACCCAACAGCTAAAATCACCCATTAGTCAACCGATTGACAGAAAAGTTTGTATGGAAAAACATTTGATGGTTCCAGCTTCTCAATGTGAAGATTTACTACTTTGAATGATATTAATAATTTGAATGTTTTTGTATTCATTTTTAGGTTTGAACTGTTGGTTGGACAAAACCAGCATTGTGATGATGTCACTTTGGGCTCTGGGTAATTGTGATGGCATTTCTTACTATTTTCAGAATTTTTACAAAGCAAATAATCAACATTTTGACTGATTACTTTTACTTTAGCAGTATCTAAATACTTCCTGCACCACTGACTTACACAGTGTTGTTGTTGTGTACTTACATGACCAGCTGACAGTCGGGCGTCCCGCTTGGACAGGGACTCTGAGACTTGATGGTGTACTTCTCAGTTCCACACGCCACGGCAACAGTAACTTCACGCTTCTGCACGAACGCACACCAGTTCCTGCCCAACACACACGCGCGCACACACACACAGAGTCAGGATACTGATGCAGAGTGATGACATGTCCACAGTGTTTTAGGAAAACAGATGAGATCATTTCAAAAGCCTTAAGAACACACACAGTCTTTAACTGCTGGTGAATTAGCTTGTTTGCAGTTAAGTTGTTGCCTCCTTCCTGTTTGGGTTCAGAGGTCAAACATGGTGTCTTCTCCTCATTGACCACCAACAGGCCCAAACCCAATCTCCACCCTACAGCCTAATAGTTGTCTACATGCTATCAGTACCAGAAGATAAAGTCAGACAGGAGGTCTCCTATTAGTCTGTTTGCGGGTTCACATGCACGTTCACAAATCGTGGAAAATCTTCACTTTCATAACAAGATTTTACAGAAACCAGCTTTACTTGCTCTGTGATTCATTATAGTGACTTACTATACTACAAAGGCCTATATACAGGCTCTTTTTAAGAAAAGTCTTAAAAGACTTATTTGCAAGACATTAGTACCGCTTCAAATTTTAATGGCAGAATAGTCAGAGACAGTGGTGAATGCTGAAAATGTATTGTACTTAGTCTAATCTTCCTTTAAAAGAACTCTATGAGGAACCAGTGATAATTGTAAAGCATCAAAGGCAGACTGAAGAGTTAGAGCCTGGGGCATATAAACTGGTATCATCTGAATATCTCTAAAATATTGAGAATATGCTCTTTTGCCATATATTTCTATTTTTCTGTAACCCAATCCTCGTGATTCAAGCATAAAATCATCAGGCTATTTACTGATTCCTGCATGAGGGTGATTCATCAATAATATATACATAATAATATACCAGCATACTTGCTATTCTTGCTATCACCATCAAAGCGTAGTGGCTTCACTCACATTAAAGCTGCAGGTCATTTTAAAAAATATATATTTTT